TGCTCTGAGGAATTGTTCGGATTAATCCCAGCCGCCAAATTTCGTGAACGCACTACGCAGCAAACGTCCCGATACCATCCACACCATGTGGATGCTTGGCGGTCCACCACTGTACGTTTCAAGAGGAGTTTTCTTCCGCGTACAACCTCTCTGTGGAATAGTTTACCACCAGCGATTTTTCCGGACCGATACGACCTGGGGACCTTCAAAAAAAGAGCGTACTTCTTTTTACAGGGCCGGCAAAGCACCTGCAATTCCCCTGGTGTTGCGGTTGATCATGGGCGGCGGTAGTCACTTAACATCAGGTGAGCCGCATGCTCGTTTGCCCCCTCTTCTATAAAAAAAAGAAAATCAGGCGAATTAAGGCTACTTGGCGTCAAATTTTTTGCGACTCGGACCGGTCTAGACTTGGCAACACTGGACTTTACTACAGAACATTCTTTAACATTTATATTAGAAATCCCATTCATTCACTGACTTTCACATGAATTAATTTGTCTTATTAAATACAGATCCAACTGAAGTAGAGAGTACACTTATGGCCTTAAATTCAAATAGCGCAACAGGATGGGATAACATTCCGACTAATTTTCTTAAGAAGTCTAAAAATATTGTCATCATTGCAATTAGTAATTTAATAAACTTAAGCTTCGAAAAGGGTATATTTCCGGAAGCCTTCAAAAAATCTATAATCACACCCGTATATAAGAGTGGTAACAGAGATGAAGTAACTAATTATAGGCCAATATCAGTATTAACGTCAATTTCTAAAATTATGGAAAAATATTAAATAAAAGACTACTAGGCTATCTTAATAAATATAATTTAATTTCAAAGTTGCAGTATGGTTTTCGACAGGGCTTATCTACTGAAGATGCGGTTGGGGATCTTACTAAATTAATTGTGCAGGAAAATTATTAAAAAAATGTATAACAGTATTTTTGGATTTAAAGAAAGCTTTTGATACAGTCTCCGTGCCCATAATGTTAAAAAGACTAGAAAGTATTGGCTTAAGAGATAAAACTCTATCTCTTTTTGGCAGCTATCTTAGAAACAGAAAACAGTCGGTAAAAATTGGAGCAACTGTAAGTGAAACTGTAACTGTTAACTATGGAGTCCCACAAGGAAGTGTGATGGGTCCAACTCTATTTTTGATATACATTAAGGAACTTTATAATATGAAACTTTATAATGGGCAGATTTTTTCATATGCAGATGACACTTCCATTGTATTTACAGGAAACACATGGGACTCCGTAAGGAAAGCAGCAGAATTAGGCCTTGCTAGTATTGCAAATTGGCTCAATCAGAATCTACTAACCTTGAATATATCCAAAACTAAATATATCTGCTTTACTGTGTATAACAGCACCCAACGTACACCTGCTTTTCATATTAAAATTCACGATTGCTCTGACGTCCAAAGCTCTAGTTGTAAATGCTCCCAAATAAATAAAGTCTCAAATATAAAGTACCTTGGAGTCATGGTTGACCAACGACTATCTTGGTATTTACATCTTGAATTAATGGAAACTCGGCTCAGAAAACTTATTTGGATATTTAAGTCTCTACGACAAGTCTCCACAAGTCTTTTCTTAATAAAATACACATAGCTCTGGCTCAGTCAACTTTGGGCTACTGTATTCCTATATGTTTTACAACTGAACTTTGTGAATGGAGTTATTTACTTTTGGTAAGAAAACTTTACATTTTAGCAACAGTTTTAAAACTTCATAGTTCCATGAATTACCATATGTCTTCAATCACCAGACGTAGAAAGTATAAAATACCCTATGAAGATAAATTTAAGACTAAGTTTGCATCAAGACAGTATACTAGATGTTCAGTTTACTTATATAATAAAATAAACCAAAAAATCAATATTTACTTTATGAGTTACCATGACTGTAAAAAAACCGTAACAGACTGGTTAAGAAAACTTTCCTATGAAGAAATCGAATTCTTCTCGAAAACACTGCCTTATGAATTTTTACACTCATACAGACTTCCCACGCTCATCCATGCACACACACATTTTTTCACAATATCACGCAAATATCGCTAATTATACCTTACTTGCAGTTTAAATTGTTTAGCTTTTGATTTTTTTTTTTTGTTATTTTATTGTTTTGTGTTATTTACTTAATTCTAATTTAAAGTAGTAATATAATTGTAATAAGGAAAAGCGGGGCCCTCTACTACAGGTATCTATTTACTTAAAAGAGGGTGCCCAAAAATATAGTGAACGAGTGAAGCCGGCCACAGTCGAGCGTGTACCTGCTGTACTGTCATATGTTAGAGAAGTCACTGACAAGATTGGCTACATCTTGAAGCGCGCTTCCATCAAAACATACTTCAAGCCGCTGAAGAAGATTGGTCAGTTTTTACCATCAGTCAAGTGTAATGTCCCTCTGCAAGATGCAGGAGTGTACAAGCTTGATTGTGAATGTGGTCTCCTACATAGGACAAACTAAAAGATCAATTAAAACCCGCGTTAAAGAACATATAGCTGATGTGAAGAATCGACGCTCCGGGAAGTCTGCAGTCTGTGAACACGTATATCGCCCCCATCACTACATCAGATTTGATAGACCACAAATCCTCGCTAAAGAACACCGATTCCTTCCAAGGATGATTCGCGAGGCTATTGAAATCAAAAAACATCTTAATTTCAATAGAGAAGATGGCTGGGTGCTACCATCTGCTTGGGATCCTATAATAAATAAAATTAAATCCCAACCCAAGCATACAACTGCAAGACTTCAAGATACCAAAAGTTCATACTGTGTAGATCGGAACAAAAGTTAAAATTTTAATCTATGGTAACCGCGGTTAACTATGACATCTGGACGTTGAACATCTCAGTCCCGCCCGTGACCATGAGTGCTGTAAAGCGTTCGAAACGTCGGGTATTTAAAAAAGTTAAATATATGCGATAAATTCCGTAAAAACTAGTATTATTTCAATGTGTAGTGTTCGCGTAAATATAAGAAATCATTACAGGACTGTCAAGTTAATATCAAGAATACAACGATAAGAACACACACTAGCAGCGTCTCTATAAACGAAATCATCCCTCTACCCAACGAGAACCTAATACACCAGGAAGAAGTCCAGTACAAGATACACCTAGAAGACATCTCACTAGATAGTGTCCATGAACAAGGTTGAAGACATTCAAGAAACAGAAACTTGAGACTGATCTCATATGATGGCAATTCCTAGCTGGTCCACAGTGCTCCTCTACATACTAGCAGCATATATTGCAAATTGGAAGATATACAATTGGATTAAGCGTTCGAGTAAAGCAAGTCGTGAAATTTCTGCTGGAAGCTGCAGAACCAGCTTCCAACTTAAGGAGGGAAAAGATTAAGGTTTTGTAACCCTGAAATCGGGCCGACATAGCAGTTACACAGATCAATGGCAAATGAGAAATGCTTGCCCTTCGGAAAGGATCGTCGTGGAGACAATGGAACTGTCTTGCAATCTGTTACCATCCACGCATCACTTATCTTATTTATGTCTTTTAACAGTTCATTTGAAATTATTAGTGTAACTTTCCCGAAAATAAGTTATTATTATGATTTTAAAAGGTTTTCGTTCGCCGTCATATCGTAACTCACGTCTCGTCTCGTCTCGGAACTGTTCGAATCTAATAAGAAGTACATTTTTGTAGATTAGGTCACTAATCAATTGAATCATACCCAACGCGACTCTATGCTTCTCTACGCTACTCTATGCTACTCTGTTTCGTCTGGTCTTGTCTGGCCTCGTCTGGTCTCGTATGGTCTCGTCTGGTCACGTCAAGTTTCATCAGGTCTCGTCTTGACTCGTCTCGTATCGTCTTGTTTCGCTTCGTCTCGTCTCGGAACTGCCCGAAACTAATAAGAAGTATATTTTTGCAGATCAGGTCGATAATAATCTATGATTTAATAAACATGTGATAGTCTGTAGTGAATTCATTTCATGTACCCCTGCAGAAAGGCTAGATGCTTTGTGGTGTCGGGCCACTAGTTTCTTGCAAACCACTATTTAAAGAATTGGGTGTTCTTACGCTACCATCCATGTACATTTTTGAACGTTCAATATTTGTAAAAAAGTATCCTCATTTTTTTTACTAGGTTAAAAGATACAGCAACATATAGTACCAGATACCCGGATAAAATTATTCATTAAAAACAAGCCTGTACTCAAAAAATTGCTATGTGATGGCTGTTCAAGTATTTAATAAAATTGCAAATGAAATAAGGCAACTAGATTATAATCGATTTAGACGTAATTTATTAAAGTGGCTTCTAGAAAAACAATTTTATTCGGTAAATGAACTGCTAAAAATAAAAGAACGTTTGTATTGACTGTTAAACGCTGTTTCTTTTTTGATGGTGTTTTAAAGGATTAATATAAATATTGTAAAGTGAGATACGTGTAAATTTTTTATATTCTAACAATAAGTTAATTAGTAAATAAGTTTTCATATACCAAAATTGGTGAAATATGTGATACATTATTATTTTATAAGAACATCCTTGTACCATATTTCTTGTGAATAAATTTATTTATTTATATTTATTTATTTAGAACCTAGAACTACAGATAATACATTTTAGTAATGACACCTGTAACCGTAGACAGAGAATGCTAGGATTCTCTGTCTACGCCTGTAACCGCCTGTAACTGTAACTTTCAGTTTATACTTAGAGTATATGGAGGGAGACTGTGGGAAAGATCGTAGCTGGCTGTCCTCGACAGTAACCTGGCTGTTTGGCTAAGAATCCGACAGACTCTACCTAAATTAGAGACCGATACTTTCTGCTCTTCAAGTTTCTGTAATGTATTCTAAGGTGTACCTTATACCTTTAATCTATGGTTCATTGCATGTCCATGGACTTTGGAATTTTCTGTCAAAATAATAATCGTTCGAAATTTTATAAAAACACCTACAAAAACATGAATGATAGCACGCGGTTTTCGGAAGAGCATTTATCTCGACCATAAAATAGGCGTTGAAGACTATACCGGGTATTGTAAGAAAAGTCTGTATAAAAAGTTACGATAAGAACAAGTTCAACGTTTGCTCCGGTAAAGAGGTGATTCAAATTTAAGATGTTATTTATTATAATCGATACAATAGAAAAAATCCATTGAAAGGAGTTGTTTGTTATCATATTTGTGTACAAAGTTGTCCTTCGGCGTAAATCGGTTTTTAATGTTTTCAACGTTTAACCGTATCGAAACCGAGCAGTCGTACGTGACAATCATCACAAAGTCATTGCGTAAAGTGTTTGATTAAATTTAAATAAATTAATACGCTTCTTTTAGTGACCTACTTTTGACTTTATGTAATCGGATAAAGTTGCAGAAGTTTTATATTATGATTTTTTTAAATATGTCATTGTGATTTGTTTGCGTGTTTACTAGGCTTTTTTGAAATATGACGCGGTGTTAAGGTCGTCGATCCCATAGTCGCCATCATTCCAATTTACAAAATTTATCAACAAAGTGAAATATGGCCAGGTATTTTGAGAATACCACAACTTTTAACTTCAGTTGGGACCAAGTTGCTTGCGGATACTGGAAAAGATATCCTAATCCACAGAGGTAAGATAAGTTGTTTAAAAATTGGTATTTGTATAAAGGACAATGTGATTGTGTTTACAGTTTTGTTATGCTCCCTGATATTTAAGAAAAAAATACCTGTGCAATTTTTCCTCTTAATTGAAATAGTGATGTGAAACTTTATAACTTAGTTACATTAATATATCTTATATTCTTTGTTTATGTTTTCTTTTATTCTTTTGGGTCAAATGAATTTATTAACAATTATTATATAGCCTTGAGATGTGACTAATAATTGCAACACATACACATACAATGGTATGTGTTATAACAAAAGAACTGTTTATTGTACTTGTGTTAACTGATATTAAGAATATGATTGCTTTAAAATTTCAAATTCATAGAAGGATGTAGAAATTAAAATTCAAATTAAAATGAATTAACTACTGATTATTGGAAACTAGCTGTGTTACCCGCGGCTTCGCCCGCATGGTCACTGGGAAATGAACTATCCATTGCTTTTTGAATTGAAAGAAAACTGAGTTTTATAGATTTGTCAGAGATGCAGCCATTAAAAGGAAACTGAGCAAAATTAATTCGTCAGCCTATTTAAATGTTTTGAAATGCAGCATATAGGAAAGCATGAAAATACCCTGTTTATTCCAAATGGAAATGGGATATTTTTTTAATTAAAGGAAACTGAGCATTATTATCCTGTCAGGGATGCAGACTTTTGAAAAGAAACTGAGCTAAATTTATTCGTCAGAGATGCAGTTTTCTGAATTGAAAGGAAACTGAGCCAAATAAAAGATCCGTCAGAGATGCAGCCTTTTGAGTTGAAAGGAAACTGAGCTTAATAGGTCCGTCAGAGGTGCAGCATTTGGAATTGAAAAAAAAAACTGAGCTAAATAGGAAATTTTGAATTGAAAGGGAAGATCTGTGGAAATTCTGATTAATTGATTGTGGGAATTTTGGAAAAAAAAAACTAATTGAACACTATTTTAAGATGTTACTGTACAAAATGTTATATGTTTTTCCATTCGGGGAAAGAATGTGGAGATTCTGGGCATTTGACACACGCGAACATGCTACATACAGCTGACCATGAGAGAAGCACGGTTTTTCTAAGTTGACCCCCACTACCTGTAACGTTTGCTCTTGCGCTTTATTAATTATCATTGCAAAACTGAGCTTAATAGGGAACTGCAACATTTTGAATTGAAAAGGAAGATCTGTGGGATTTATAAGGATCGTGGTATAATAACATTTTCACCTTTTCCTATGCCTGTCAAAATTGTAGCACCGATTATGTTCCGTCCAAGATGTGTCACACGCAGCCTTGTCCCGTTACATAACCGAGAGCATCTAAATTTCGCATTAGCATGACTGGGACGCCTAATTTTAATTGAAGCTTATGTGAGGGCACACCTGACAACTCTAGAGAATTTAGAAACTCTGCGGGATATGAAGTGCTCTGTTCTGTGTCCATAACTGTGTCTACTGACAAATACTCTGTTATTTCTCCTGCTACTTCGCTTAATATGTTCGAATTTATTTTGTTAACGCTCTCATTTTTTGGTGCAAGAATCGCCCTTTAACATAACCATTTGTCTTCATGCATGTTGTTCATTAAATCTGAATAAACGCTCGCAATTAATTCGGAATGACTCTGTACTAAATTACAAAAATCTCTCGTCAATTTAACGCAGCCCTCAGCATCCGTTTCCAACCGCCCATCGCCAATTTTTAATAGTGTGTCAGCATAGTTTCCAGCATTGATATCATTATACAAATGCACTCTCATATTCGTAGTTAAACTGAATTTTGTCACCTTGTTCCATAAAATAGACGACTTGAGGCATGCTTTAATTTCATCTGCAGGTGAGCCCTTTTGAATGAGAGGTAAAGTTTGGCGAAGGTCACCAGCCAGTAAAACCACCATTCCTCCCATTACATTGGTATTGCTGCGCAAATCCTGGAGCGTTCGATTTAGTGCTTCTACGGTTTTTTTATGCGATATTGTACTTTCGTCCCACACTAATAGTTTGCGTTGTCGTAGCATTATACCTCGTGCACTATTTTTGCTAAAGTTGCAGATCGGCGATTCTTCCTGGGCTAGATTTAGAGGGAGTTTTAAAACAGAATGTGCAGTGCGGCCCCCGCTTAGCTGCATGGCGGCTATACCGGAGCAAGCTACGGCCACAGCAATATTTTTATCTTTCCGTACTTGCGCTAATAATAAATTTAACAAAAATGTCTTCCAAGTTCCTCCAGAGGCATCTAAAAAGAAAAGTGCATCATTTCCAGATTCAATTTGTCCTAATACTTTGTGAAAAACTCGTTTTTGTTTGGGAAGCAAGCGGGGTACAAATTTGGCTACTTGCTGCTGCAAAGCTGGTATATCGTAGTTTGTTTCACGTATAATATCACTTAGTTCATTTTCGGTTGTTCGCTGAGGGCTTATCATTCCAAAGTCGCTTAATTGTTTGCCTACCATTGCCATTACTTTATCTTCAATTTTTCCAAGTGCTTCATTATAAATGTGTTCATTGTATGTCATGTTCGCGTGTATCCTTCGCAATTCTCGTATGTGTCTGCTGTAACCTTCGCAAAATATCTTCCGCCATGTACTCTTTATATTTGTCCCACAATTCATGTGCATTAGATAGCCCGCAAGATGATATGAGAGTTGCATAAAGATCCCTAATTTTGGCTGGTGACTGGCACTGCACAGCTTCCTCCATGGTTTCATCCCAGTGATTATCGTTTTCTAAAAGATGCAGAGCTTCACATGCTTCTCTATAAGTTGCGCATTCCTGACCGTTGACAGTTTTAAAGTCTTTATATCCTGTAGGACCCCAAACATGGTGCAGCAGCAAATGTAAACAGAAACATTCAAAATTACGGTATACACACGACCAAGGGCATCTGATGACTTTACACTGGGCCAATTTGCAACAGGCGTGCCTTGAATACGGCGTTTCCACTCCTTCCTAGATGTGTTCCAAGTATAATGTCGGGGGACTTCAGAATATAGCAACGTTTTTGCAAAGGGATCGGTTTGACAAAGTTGAAAGAAGGCTGTTAGTGTAGTTTTTGGCGCTGATGCAATTCCTTCATGGAAATTTCTTTCGGTGAAATATACACGCTCTCCATTTTCTAAGTGCACAGCAAGGTGAGTAACTGTTGGGTGCCTTTTGTGTAAAGGGAAGCCAAGGAGACGCCACGCTGCCTCGTTACTGCTGACATAGCGCTCTGCTCGAAAGGTCTGAACTTCATTAACGGGATTTTCCTCACCTTCACTCCTGAGATTAAATATTGCTTGGTCGCTTCCTTTATATATGTACTTACAGATATAGGTACTCTATTGCGCGGACAGAGCTACATGCTTCTACATTAATTTGGGCATTAAACATTTTACATAGAATGGGCGAATATGGGACAATCCAGCTGTTATCTAAGGTTTCGAACGCTCCAGAGCGAGATTTGATTGTAACTTTCCTGCCACCATCTTCGGGAGCTCTGCGTCTGTATAAAGGGTAGCCATTGTCATTGTGCACTGTTTCTTTTAATAGCTGTTTAGGGAATTTCTTTGTACATTTTCCTTCTTTCATACATGGCGATATTGAATTTCGTGCTCCACATGGACCGTGAATCATATTTCGGACAATGGTATCATACAATTCTTTATCTTGCTCAGGATCCGGAGTCTCGGCGCTTATTATGTCGTCTATTTTGCTGGGCCGCAACTTCTCTTTAAGCCATATTAGAATGTGTGCATGCGGTAATCCTCTTTTTTGCCATTCAATTGAATACATGAAGCACTGCACCTCTCCGAAAATTTTCCCTTTGTTAATTACATACATTAATTTTTGTACTTATAATCTAAATTCTCTAGCAACTAAATCGTGTCTATCAGTACTTTTTTGGCCCTGCATTAGCTCCTCGGTTATTTCTTTCCATGTGGGATTGCAAGTAAAAGTAACAAAAAGATCAGGTTTTCCGTAAGTTCGTACATAGGCAAATGCGTCTTGTGTACTCATGTAGGTAGCGGGGACTGTTAACGAATGATGATGACAGAATTACCATTTTACCTAAATCTCTGGGGTTTTCATTGGCGTCGCTAGAAACTGCATCTTGTAAATGTATATAATTCTCAACACGCAGATTTTTTTGATTTAAAGATTATAATGGAGACATTCACTTTCTATCTTCACATACATGTCTACCAAAAATTGATGAAGTAATTGTCTACACCGGGCTAAGAGGTTAAAATCATTTTCTCGTAACATATGATACGCATAAAAATCTATACATGACACTTTTTTGTTTGGAGTAGGCTCCTTTGTGACCGGGTTAATGAGTGGAATTTGAAAATGATAACCCTCTTGTCCTTTGCAATAAATCAATGGGTATTGCAGAGCGTCACGTAACGTGCTCGCAAGACAATGTCTCGTGAAGAAAATTGATCACCACTAATTACGGCTGCTATTTCGTTTATCAAAGGTGTAGCGCCTTTCATGCTCTCCTCGAGGGGTCCGATCTGCGTGAATGACGACTTTATAATCCTCTTCAGGTAGGTTTTCTAAAGTAGTTTTAAATGTTTTGACTAAAATGTTATGTACATGCAAGAATCTTTGAATTTTGAACACTGTTTCTCTCTCAACTCCCTGGATAAATTGGCAGCGACGGTCTACCTCAATTTCTTCGTCACCCATAAAATATACTTGTAAAAATTTATGCCGTTCGTTTTCAGCTGGAAAAATTGAACCTTCTATGATAAATTTGCCCTTGCACCGTAAATGTGGGCGAAAATCCCGGCATTATTATTTCCCGGTCAACTCCGAAGCACGTCATTTGAAAGCATGAGTTATATTTCCGGATCCTGTTTAAAAAGCGTGTCTCAT